ACACTTTATTGTTTCACAATTACTCAGCCACCTACACTATTTTTGGGCTTCGAAACCAACATTTTAAGTGATTTTCTTGTCAATCTGTCATTATATTGTGCTAGTTTAAGTAGCAATGACCTTTGACTTTTCACATGTAAAGGATATGTTTCAAAGGAATTTGTTGAACAGAGTTATAAATAGTTTTTGAATTGAGATGCGAAAGGTGAGTAAGAAGTAAAGAAGAGTCCAGTGCAGACCATATTTCCTCAAAATAACTAATTTCCCTGATTTTGGACGTGACTGTGAGGTCTGGACTCATCGTCCGAGAAACAGTTCTCTGCACATATGCTATCGATCTGCGGGCTTAAGGGACTTTAAGAGGCGCGGCAGGTTTAGGTAGCGTAAAACGCTGACCTCTGCCCTTGCATGGGATTGCGCTGGGTTTTTAACAAGCACCAGGTGTAATAAGGTCCGTCGGGGTTCCAGGGAAACATGCTAGGGTTTAAAAGAGGCATTCCACCTTGAAACTGAATTCACATCATGTCCTGAAGGTAAAAAAATGGTTAAGAATGATAAGATGGTTTTAATGAAGGCAATAAGGTTTAATATAAAAATATTTGGTTGTCAGTTGTGGGAGGAAAACAATTCCAAAGGTACTGTCTGATGTAATATTTTCCCAAGACAAAGTACTAACACACGTATACAGTATAATAATATCAATGCAACATATGATATATTCTCCAAAGCAATTTATCTACGTATGACAGAATATCTTTATATCTTTAGCTTTAGTAAAGCTGCAAGCAGATATTAAAATGGTAATCTTGTTTGCACATCATTGATAACCTTAAACTTAAGCCTAATTTACCATGATCATATGATTTTAACAATGTTTATTGAAATATAAATGGTATGCTGTGAACAACATTTTAGGTTAGCTGTGATTATGACTTTTTTCCAAATCAGTAACCTCATTTATATAGAAAATAAAATGTACATCATGCTATGAAAATCCATATTGCAGATCACAGGGTGAGTTCAGGTGGGATCACAAGAATTCCGTTTTAGGGTGCGATTTCAAGGTAACATACAGCAGCCGCCGCTTCTGTAGATGGTGCCAGAATACCCACAATGCACCACAATGCGTACACTAACAGGAAAAACGTGCCAGGTGGGGGTGACGTGTTAAAACAACACAAGATGTGCAGTCCCTAATGACCCACGTGTGGATATCCAGACAATTGATAGCAGTTGTGTGAAAGATGTGCTGTTGTTGAACACATTTTTCAGCACGTGACGGAGGGAAGTCAGAGCAGCGTGTGTTACATCTTCATCCTCCCACCACACACTGTGAAGGATGGTTTCCTCCAGTGTGACCAAAGCGTTAAGCAGCTTTTATTCTTGTGCTAATACTGAGATGTCTATAACCCATACCTCAAGATAAATGAGTCCAAATTTGATTTTTGTATTTAGTATGATTACAAGATAAAACAAATCACAACAAGGCATCTGTTGACTTTTAGGGCTGGGCAATAAATCAATATAATATTGATTTTGTGATATGAGAATACATATTGACTTTTGGATATCTTACCAAGTGTTGCCATCCTGATTTTAAAGGCTGCATGATGGTATGATAGTATACATTTTTTTTTTTACATTTACTCAAGTACTGCACTTAAGTACAATTTTGAGATACTTGTACTTTACTTGAGTATTTCCATGTTATGCTACTTAGCATTACCCAACTACAACTCAGAGGTAAATGGTGTACTTTTCCTCCACTAAATTGATTTAATACCTTTAGTTACTTTACAGATTTGGATTAATGATGTGAAATATAATATATATATAATCAACAGACTTTAGTTCCACCTGGAGTCAATTCACAAGCTACCCTGCAGTATACAAAGTCATTCAAACTAGCTGCACCTTTACCAGCTCTGATAACACTTTAATGCATCAATAATCAAAACATATCATATATGTTATTCTGAAATCTCATCAAACCTGCAGAAGTACTATTACTTTTTGTGTTTTAAATATATTTTGATGCTAATTCTTTTGCACTTTTACTTGAGTAACCTTTTGAATGCAGGACGTTTACTTGTAACAGAGTATTCTTTCACTCTTGTACTTCTACTTTCACCTAAGTACAAGATCTGAGTACTTCTCCCACCTCTGATTATTTATCACTTAGAATCTAATTTTGATGAAAGCACCAATAGTGAACCCATTGCAAGGTTGAGATCAAGGTAACAAATATTTTGATATTTAAAATATTCCATATTGCCTAGCCATACTTGAAGCTCATCATAGGACTGTAGCATTCCTGAATTTATTCTCAACATGCTTTTGCATTGAATGTCATGTGTTGCAGTTTTTTCTGTTGGTTCATGATTGCATGACATGTACTTAGAGGAGGGTCTTCACTGCTGTCACACATGTTCTGATGAAGTTATTTCCCCCCTATGTGATTAAAGGAGCCCTATAATGCTCATGTTCAGGTTCATACTTGTATTTTGTGTCTCTACTGTGACATGTTGAAATGCTTTAATGTTCAAAAAGCTCTTTATCAGAGCAGAGCCCATTCCGGCACTGTTGTGATTGGTCAACCGCTTAGAGATGACAACATATCATGTGATGTAGTTGTTAAGTACAGTATCTGAAATTGTCTCCACTTATGTTATAAATAATAACAGAATCATTTTTAAAAGGAGCCATTCTGCACTAAGAGTACTTTGATTACATTTTAATTCAAACTTTTCTTAACTTTTTCAATTTTAAATCAGGCCTTTTCCTAAACTATTTTTTAAAGGATCGTATTTATACTTTCACACTGTTTATTGCTAGTACAGATCGGTGAAGTTTACATCCTGATTTATCATGTTATTAAGGATATCTGAATTAGTCCTCAATATTAAATTAATTATGTGGAAACAGCGGAAAGCCAGCGTTGGGATCTGAATACCCAAGCAGGGAAGCATTTTATCTCAAACATTGATCAGTCTCACTCCCTCTGAATTCTCACAGGTGCTCACAATTACCCACAGTAAGCTTACAGAAACACTAATGGACAAAATAATGGGTTCAACCTCCTGACTTTTACAGTTCAATTTTCCAGCTCTGAAACACTTCAAACCTCTGCCAATGTGTGTGTGTGAGTTTTAACAGCTTAAAAAACCAGGTCCAGATGTGAGAGAGGGCGAAAGGGTGGGAGAGGTGGAGAAAAGGGGTAAATAAAGGAAAGGAAAAAAGGGGTACAGGGGGAATGAAGGGGGGAAGGGGAGAATCAAATGACATAAATCTCTCTGGTGTGAAGTGATGCATTCTGACAGCAGGTCAACCTGTCGCGCCAACAACCAGCATTTGACCCTTTAGACTGCAAAACGGTGTCTAGATTTAAGCTGTTCTGATCTATTAGCGTCAAATGCCTTCATCCAAGACTTAAAGTAATTTTAAGCAACATTTTTATTGTAATTTTGTAAAATGTTGCACAATATCATGCTCAAAATGTGTATGTTTCAAACTTATACATATATTTTTTTAACATTTGTTCAATTATTTAGTACTGCCTTGAGACAATGCATTATTTTAAATCAGGTTTATGCACATTTAATGTTTCGATCTACTTGTGAACCGGCAGTAATTTTCGTTGCAATTAAATAAATAAATAGAAAACAATACGTACTAGGGCAATATCCAGATTGCGGTAGTCAACTTTTTTAATGAAAATAAATATGGTCAATCTCTCGAATATCGCAAATCATATCGCAGTTGCAATGCAAGATATTTTTTTCCAAATTGTGCAGCCCTATTTTTCTTCAATTATCTAATATTATTTAAATTCAGATTTTTGTAATAGGTTATCTATATTATATTATCAATTCTTAATTGAGCATTCCATTTCTGCTAAATAATGCATTGAGTAGAAGTTGTATTATATGTTTTCCTCTGATAGTCTGACTTTGTTAAACCTGGTATTATTGAAAGTGTGTAATCTAGCTGTCAGATGCAGTTACTCTGAATGAGAGTCAGTGGAACCTGATGGCTTAATGCGCCCCCCCTCAACATTTCCTAACGCCTCACCTCTTGGCGTGGAAGGTTAGGAAGCTAAAATGACGGTGTAATTGAGACCGGATCCCCCTCTATTAGTTCCAAATTCCTGAGGAAATGCCAGACACCATTGAGCGTGAGGGTCACCACATACCTGTGAGGCTGTGGTGAGACTGTTTTCAGAGGGTGGGGGGGGGGGTTTATTAAGACTCATTAGCCACAAATCGGGTTTCAAGGAGAATTTGCAACAACTGTGGAATCTCTGCTGCTGCAGAGCTTTACAAGGAGTGACAATCCAACCCCTTATTGGAACTGTGAGAATGTAACGTGGTCAAATTTAACGATGATCTAGACTCAACTTCTCCCAAAAAGTATTTTAAAAGTCATTGATTTCTGGATTTGTAGCAATGGACGAAAACACTGTTGCAAAATGATGAAATATAACCTATTCAATGTCTACTGCAGTGGTGGATGTTGATAAAGAGAAACTAAGCAAAGAAAATATATTTATAAATGTCAAATTTCTTGAAACGTCTAACAATACTGAAAACATTCTGTGCTAAGAAACTTTTTTTTCTTCTGTTTTGCTATAAAGTATATAAAAAAAACATATAGATATAGATTAACGGTAAAGAAAATCAATGTCAATGTTTTTTTTAAAACCTGCTGACTAATGTACCATGTGTTATTATAATAGCGCATTTTTTTAATTTTAGTTAAAAAAGGTAATAAATAAAAAAATATTATTAATGCTGTTCCCTAAATGTTAATTTATCTATTTGAAAATATATCCCATTGTAAAATAAATATAATAAATCCATTTAAAATTGACATTTCTTCGCGTTTGCTTTTTGCATATTGTGTAGAATCCGGAAGCTTCCATCATGTAGAATATCAGCTCAGTGACGCTTTAAAATAAAAGTTACTGCATTGAATCCGGTTTGTTTACCCAGCGTACTCACCACTTTGCTTCTGCACGGCGCCAGAGCCCATTTTGATCACCTCACACAGCAAGATAATCACAATGGCAAAGAGTTGCAAATGCATCTGGGCTGCTGGCAAGCGCCCGCTTCAGCGCCAGGCTGCGGACATCTGCGAGGACTCCAGTGGTGGCAGGTTGGAGATTTAGTTCCACAGCGAGGGACAGAAAGACAGGAAAAAAGGGGAGAAGACGGGGTTTAAAAGATGATGGGATGGATGGAGAATATAATCTTGCAGGCCCAAAGCAGCGCTGAAAAAGATTAGTGTAAAGGTGAGAGGCGAGACCGAAGGAAATCCTCTTCTTCTCCTTCGTTCTATTTCACGCAGAAGATTCAGGGCTAAGATGAGGAGACAGGCAAACATAAACAACACAAGAGGAGCTCATGAAAGTCTGAAAGAGCGGAGGTGAGGAGAGCAGAGAGCCTCGTCTGCTTCCCCAGACTGGCAGCTTGGAGGGAAAACTCACCATTTAACTACCACTGTCAAATTTGCGATAAACGAGCTCCACTTATCCCGTAGCCATCTTTAACCCTTTACGTGCTCTTAGGGCCTAAGTGGTTCCATATTTGCAGCTTGATCTTTAGCCCCCTCCTCCTGGCTCTATCTATTGTTGTTCAGTCTCTTCTTTTTATTTGATTTGTTTACTGTCTCTCCCTGTACTGGGCAAATTGGTTTTCTGTGGCAATCATATTAAATGCAGGCAGTCGGTAGACTTCATTTGACCACCCTTTGAGGAGGAAAAACAACTGGAGGGCAGCATAACTGAGAGTTTAAAGATGGATTATAGTGTAGCTTTGCGATTGATTTGTTGTTCCTGTTTGGGTAAGGAGTCAGGTACGTAGGAAGTCTGCGATTTGTAGTAAGACGTGTAAGATGAAAAGGCTGTGTTAAAGACAGAGTGATTTGTGAAGTTATACAGTAGATACAGTATCAGTATAAGGCTAATTAACCTTTTGGTTGGGGCCAGTAACTGTTAAGTAAGAATATTGGATAAATCATCCATACATGACTCAAATGAACAAAAAACTCTTTCTCCAATCTCTCAAATGTATAGATACCAGTATACTGTACACTTTTGGTGGTGGTCCATATTGACTTGATAGCATCATGAAATTGCTGCGGTTTCTTGTTCAAATGGTCATATCCCAACTTCTCTGTCAGACACATGATAGGGCCAAAAGAAAAGGCAAAATCTCATTGACTTTCATTAGGAAAGAGATCAGAATCAGAATCAGAATACCTTTATTAGTCCCACAGAGGGGAAATGTACAGTTACAGCAGAAAAAAGAGCCACAGACAGCTTATTGTTACATATGTTACATATGTTACATGCATTAAAAAGTTATGATATAATAAAAAAACATCTGTATATTAGCGTATGTTTCTTTTGGGGGTGCATACACTTCCCAGTATGAACACATGATAAACCCTAACCCTAACCCTTTAAATCATTAGGTCCTAAAAGTTTTAAAATGCACTGATAGCTAAATCCAGAGTCATCTTCCCTCTCCATTCATTAGACTGAGCAAAGAGCAGCTAAGATGGTGTGGCTTAGAGAGAAAACACAAGTGCCCACGCTCTATGGCCTCATTGATGAATATGTTTGTACTTGAGAGTCAAGCCATTTTGAAGTGATGCACAACTGAGCAACTTTAGTAAGAATCAATGTGTGTCCAGTATCCCTCCCTGTATCCAGTTTCTTTTATGCATTCACTGGTTGTCTACAGCATTTAAGGGGGCCCAACTGTGCCAACCAAATATCCAACACACCATTATACCACCACAACTAAGTATATCTTGATTCAAACTTGATATTACTGTTTTCAACTATAACCTAATCCGGTTTTGTGAAATCTGTTGACATAATACATTTAATCAAAGTCAAAGTTTCAGTTTGGTCAGTGCAGGCTTTAACCAGTTAAGCCCCATGCCCCCGGTACCAGGGGCAAAACGCAACATCTTGCAAGAAACAGCGTCTGAGGGCTTCTTAACATTTAACAAACTATGAATGTGTCCCCTTATGAAACAAAAATATATTGCAATATATTGTAAAATATAATACAATATATTGGATCATACATTTCCATATATGGGAAAGTAGTCCTTATATTTTTTAATATATTGCAATATATGCATGGACCATGTATGGCTATATATTGATACATATAAAAAAAAAATATATAAATATAATATAAAAAAAGTAATATATTGCAATGAAAACAAAAACTGCACTATACATTTATATGTAATAGTTTTATTTAAACACTCATTTATCTTTCATGAGTTACACAAGTTTACATAAAATTGAACAGATATTCATAAACAGTTATCTCACTTCGTTTTGTATAGTTACCCACTTTATATATATATATATATTTTTTTTTATGTCAATTTATTGAACATGTCAGAAACAAAACATACATCAATACTAATAATAATATATATTGCTTCTTCCTTTTCTTCCTTCTCACTCATAATAATAATAATTATACCAAAGTACAATAAAATAAATAATAATGATAATGCAACAAAAAAAAAGAAATAAAAAGAAACAACAACAATAAATCTTAAATTAGTCTCTGTCGTGTTCAACAGGGGCAAGAAGAAGCTTAAAAAACTTTTCTGGTCCTACCCCTTCTAGCGTACATTTTCCTTGCAGTATAAATGAAGTAATTAGGTCATCGTCATCAGCGACATGTTATGAACATATGTTTGATGGTATTTATGAAAAAAGTACAATTCCATTGTCCATTGAATGATGGAACATAATATACAGTTTATAAATATATACAGACACACACATATATGCACGAATATATATATGCATATATCCACGCATATATATATATATATATGCATATATATATGCATATATATACATGTGTCCAATGCAATGCACATATTTTTTCATTCTTGAATATACTATAATATACTTACTTTTTATTTCTATTTGTTTTATATATATGTTTATTTTGAAATTGGAAATAACCCAGTACTGAGATATTCTTGAAAATTAAATGAGAATCCAGAAAACGGCTGGCGTTTGGATTCTGTTTACGGCCGACTGGTTATTTGGAGTGGAATGCAGCCACGGCAGACAGCTCAAAACAGTAATCGAACGCGCCACTTCCGGCTGACAGTGGCAGAGGATCATGGGTAATGAGCTTTCCGCTATCCAAAACTAACCTCCGTCTCGCTAAACAAATATTTTGTATAACTCTCTAAAACGTGTTAACGTTCTCATTGGACACATCACGTGCCAGTGATCATCACCAATCAATCTCACAGATTTCGGGGAGGCCTCTCCAACGGAAAATTAATAAGAAATATATTGTAATATACTGGATCATACATTTCCATATGGGAAAGTAGTCCTTATATATATATTTTTTTAATATATTGCAATATATTGATACATATAAAAAAATAATATTGCAATGAAAACAAAAACTGCACTATACATTTTTATATGTAATAGTTTTATTGAAACACTCATTTATCTTTCATGAGTTTACATAAAGTTGAACAGATATACACACACATATATATATACACACATATTATATATATACACACACACAAACATATATATATACATACATATATACAGTACATATACACACCCACACAACTTGGCAACTCCTTTAAAATGTGTCAGATACACAACTGTTTTTAAATGGAAGCTAAAGAAACCTAATCAATAAATTGATCCCAAATATAACACAATGGTAATTTCTAAACCTGGTAAGCGTATGCATCAAGTTGTGACTTGATCATTGCTATAATACCAAAATATAAACAAGCATGCTATTTAAAAATGCTTAATTAGATGTTGCCACCTTGAGTGGTAATTAAGGATCCCACACCTTCTTAAATATCAAATTCAAAGAACTTTCAAGGCATTCCAGGCCCAATTCCCTAACATTTCGGCATTGTTTGAGACACAGTCAAGGTTAATTACTGTTAAAACACTGACCATTTTTACAAAGATAACTAGCAGGCTTTACAGAAACTCACACACAACAATTAAAAAGAGAGGCTTTTATGTGTGAACACTTCTCAACTGTGCTGTGCTAGTGATGAGTATGTGGTCCCTTGCCTTCTCTAACACGGCACAGCAAAAGGGGTAAAGAGATTATCAAAATTACTTACATTTGTTTGTCTATTTATGTCTATTTCAAAAAATATTCAAGGATTTCAAGAATAATGTAATGTAATGAAATAACATTTTGCAGTATAGACACCATTTTGCTTGGTAATATACACCAACTTTGCACTCAACTTTCAGTCCTCCCCACTGCATCTTGGAGGTATGCATGCATAGAGGCTTGCATATTGTGGTAGATCAATGAGCATACATTTTCCTTTGAACATTGTCACATCAAAGATCTGTTTCCTGCCCCGCAATAGTCTTTTCAGACCAACTACATTTTCTACATTAATCAATGTACTGTGTGATCTATCATACTCTCTACCAAGAGCAATGCATTTTCTGGTACCTTGTTGCTCTATGATAATGTAATAGTAAACCGTGATTATGTATCCATTCTGTAACATAATAGTGAAGCTGTTCCTTTTCACTACTCTAGTGAACTCTTGTGAATAATACAGTTGTCCATTGACTAGAAGTCTACTGAATACTTTCACAATTGTATCTGCAGTGACTGAAAGTGTCTCTCTCATGGCTAGTATCTCTTCACTAGAAAGTTTTCGTGAATAATGCAAACCAAGGGTAACAATCTGATCTGCTACTCTTTCAAATTGCTTCAGTCTTTTTTGACCAGTTAAGTGGTTATACAGCTGAATGCATTCAGGCACAGCATTTCTCAGTGCATCATTTCTCAAAAGAGGCAATACTTGTCTATATGTGAATTCTTTCATTATTTGTAAAGGAACACACTGAGTGCCATGAAACATTTTAAGTATTTCCCCATTAAATGACTCAAAAATATATCCTGAATGTGCCCACAAAGGTCCCCATTTATTTACAGATTCAGGCAAATGAAGACATAAATGTACGTTAAATGACACATTTTGCTTTCCATAGAGTGTTTCAAATTGTTTGACAAAATCTACAACCAGTTTTTCACATCTTTTTAACTCCTCTGTTGTAATAATGTCCTTGCATAGTAAGAACATGAATGTGACAAGGATTAACCAGTGCTGGTAAAATACCTGGGGCAAAATGCCTTTTAGCACAAAGATACTGTAAAACAGTAACCAGTTCTGCCATTCACTAGCCTTCCAAAACCTTCTTTGCTGAAGAGATCTGGGAACTCTTGTCACATTGCAAGGAGGCCTAATAAGTAAGAGTTGTTGATCAAGTTCGGTCACTCTAGTCCCAAGATAATATGGTTTCTCGTGGTTTTCACTGTCCAGCCACATACTTGCCATTTGCCGAACCACACCAAGATGTACATTATGCATATGGTCAGGCGGC